AGGAAGACATTTTGATATGTGCTCTGGCCCTGAAAGAAGACGAATCTGCAGGAAACCATAGCAAACTAGTTAGAAACCAATAAGTGAATGATGTTGAAACCATGACAATAGGGAGTAATAATGTGATCTATTGATTTGGCATATTCATTTCATCCCTTCTCTGCCCCAGGGATTTTTACTCCAGAATAAAGAGAACTCTCATTTTGTGATTCTCTGGAGACATTTCAGTGGCAAAAGGAAAGGTTTTTGCATGGAAACCCTGCAACATTTCAAACCAATGGCTGTCCAGTCTCTTCTTAAAAACTTCCCATGTTAGAGCATTGACAATCAGACCTTCAAGATTCTGGAAATTTGCTGATTTTGGGGTGTGTGTGGGATTGGGTTGGAATAATTCCTAAAAGATAGTGAGAATTCATCGTGCCCATTTAAAGATGATTGCTGTTGTTGTTATTAGTTGTGAAGTCATGCCCGACCCATCACGACTCCATGAATAATATTCCTCCCGGCCTTCCTGTCCCCTACCATCCAATGGAGTCCATTTAAACTCATGCCTACTGCTACAGTGACTCCATCCAGCCACCTCATTCTCTGTCTTCCCCTTCTTTTTCTTCCTCAGTAATTCTCAGCATCTTCTCCTGTGAGTCCTTCCTTCTCATTAGGTGGCGAAAGTATTTGAGTTTCATCTTCAGGATTTGACCTTCCAAAGAGCAGTCATGGTTGAGCTCCTCTGGGACTGACCGGTTGGATGGCCTTGCAGTCCAAGGGACTAGCAGGAGTCTTCTCCAGCACCTTAGTTCAAAGGCCTCAATTCTTTGGTGCTCAGTGTTTCTTATCATCCCACTTTCACAGCCAGACATTGGAACTGAGAAAACCATAGCCTTGAATAGAGGTGCATTTGTTGGCACGGAGATGTCTCTGCTTTTTAGCATGCTTGCCTAGATTTGCTATCTAGAGTTGCCATGAAAAGGTGATACTTTAATGTAATTAGCAGATCTTCCCAAACTAAAAATTTGTTTGGGAAAAGCAGCAGGAGATTTTCATTTCATGAAACATTTAACAAAATACTTAATGAAAAATATGTGGGAAATGAAGTTCACACAGGATTCTGGGAGATTGCAAAAAAGAGGCTCGAATGGGGCATGCAAATCTGGGGGCATAATCCTCCTGAAAAGTGTGGGAATGTCTTGGTTACTTTGTTGTTTTGTGTGGATGAGAATTGGTCCTTTCTGGCAGATGCCCTCAAGGGACAGAGGCTGAATGGTTCTGCTTTCTGCTCTTGGCTTCTCCTCCTTGGTTAGAGCATTCACATTCAGACCTGCAAAATTCCGGTATATATCCGGTATATCTCTACCACTCTGGTTGCTTTCCTGATTGTGTGGATGAGAATTGGTGTTTTCTGGACGATGCCCTCTAGGGGCAGAGGCTGAATGGTTCTGCGGTCTGCTGTTGGCTTCTCCTCTCAAGGTACCCCTGGAGTAATCGTACAAGAGGCAAAGCAGATGAAGTCACTGTGTCCCCTTGCACAATAATACAAGGCAGAGTCTTCAGGCTTAGAATTCTTCATCTGGAGATAAGCTGAAGTCTTGGAATTGTCCCTCGAGATGGTGAATCTTCCCTCCACTTTGGAGCTATATCATTGACTAGTTCCTTGTGGTTGGCTTTTCCTGGAGACTTTTGGATCCAGTGGATGTCGTAGCTGGTAAAGGTGAATCCAGATGCTTTGCACGTTAGGCGAAGGGAACCTCCAGGGATTACAACATCCCCTCCAGTCTCCACCAACTGAACCTCTGCATGGCCTATTGAAAATAAGACATCAACATTGAATCAGGACGAAACCTGAACAGGAACATTTAACCTCCTACTTTTTGTTACGAGAGAAGATCTATCTGAAAGAGGGATAAGGAACAGGAGTAAAGTCCAAAGAAGAATTCACACTGCTTGCCTTTCATTTACACTTTGTTGTATCTAGCAGATCTACTCAAATTTAAACTTGATTTGGGGGGGAAAACAGCAGGAAAGGTAATTTCATAGAATTCAAAATACTTTATGAAGAATATGGCTTCTTGATGAAGAAATCACTGGAATCTTTCTGAAATGAGTCCCTGAAAAGAAAAGAGAGGACATTTTGAGATGTCATTTAGCCCTGGAAGAAGAACATTTGAGAAACTACAGCAAAATAATTAGAAATCAATCAATGCAGCTTGTTCAACCACACTAACTGAGGGACAATAATTTCTCCAGTGGTATTTTTGTTTTGTATTTTCATTTTCATCTCTTCCCTGCCTGATAGATTTTATTCCAAATGGTTACACAACTTATTTTCTGGTTCTCTGCTATCCCCTACAGAGACATTCAGTAGTGAAAGGAAATGTTTTTGCATGAGATCCCTTAAGATCTATTTCACTGTGTAGCTTGCACAGTAATAGACAGCTGTGTCTTCAGCTTTTAGGTTGTTCATTTGCAGATAGAAGTTGGAACTGTCCTTGGAGGCAGTAAAACGTCCTTGGATTGTTGGGGAATAATACTTGTTAGCAGAATCATAATAGTAAACAAGCCATTCCAGTCCTTGGCCAGGTTTCTGTCTGATCCAACTCATATAGTAACTGTTAACATTGAATCCTGTGACAGCACAAGTCAGTTTATGGGATTCTCCTGGTTTCTTCAGTGCTGCATCTGACTGGGTAAGGACAATCTGGGAGAGGCCACCTAATGAGAAAACACAAAGCACAATTCAATGATGGTTAGAAAGTAAGAGCCATAGTAAAGATGTAAAATTCCCTTCAGTCCTAGAAAAAAAAAAACTTAATATGGTCCAAATTACAAACCTTTAGAGAAGGAGGCCAGCATGATGAGAATTAACAAGTGGGGTGTCATTGTGAAAAAGGAATGAGATTTGCACCTTGAGTTGAACCTGAAGAAGGAGAAGGAGAGTTTCAATAAGAAGTGAAAGTCTGGTTGGATTTGCATAAAACCTGCTGGGAGCTGTATAAATATGAGATGAAGTCCAGAAGTGTACTGAAATTTACTTGAGAATAGATGATGATATAGAATGTCTGGATGCAAGCAGTCCTCAACATATGCTCTGGAATTTTGGTTCTTAGATAGTGCTGCCATAAGTAGAGGCAACCACGTGACTGGACAGAAATTTTCAACCATTCTTTTCAGTTATCGTTAAGAGAATCCTAGGATTGTAAATCAAATCCATTGCTCCAAATGGGGTCATTTTTTCTCACAGATACTGTGCTGGTCTCCTCCAGACAGGTGTCCTCCAAACAGAACTTAACTTGGGAAAATAGCAGGAGAGCAAATTCCATACAATTCAAAACATTTAATGAAAAATATGATTTCTCATGGAAACAATCCCAGGAATCTTCCTAAAAGGAATCCCTGAAGAGGAAAGGGAAGACATTTTGAGATGTCCTCTGGTNAAGAACTGTTTTTTAAGGATATGAAGCACTTGAATTAATTTGCATCATCTCCATATTATAAGGACGTCTCCCTTTCTTGGGATCTGCAAAATAATGTGAACATTTTCACCTTAAGATCAACACAACTAACTTTTTTACTTTTAAACTGGCACTTTTAGATAAATGCCCTGAAGAAAACTGGTTTTGCACAAATGATGCCTAATATTAAATTCATATATGCAGGTGAATTTTTGAAGATCGGCTTTTAAAGAAATAAAGTCGTTGAATTCATTTGCATCATCTCCATATTATAAGGACGATGTCCTTTCTTGGGGACTGAAAAATCATGTGAACATTTTCAGCTTAAAGTCAACACAACTAACTCATTATCCTGTAACATTGCATTTTAGACAAATGTATTAGCCAGAATAGGTATTGAACAAATGACTTGCATATACCTAATAATTTCCTCTCCCAAAATTAAACAGTTCTAAGCTTCTCAGCCATTTCAAGATCAAACATTTCTATTCATGAGGTTCCAAAATCATTTTACTCCCAGTCTAAATCTTGAAGTGGATATTAAGTAATTAAGCACCAGACTTATTTAACTCTCAGAACTAAAATGTGTGGGGACTCTCTAGCTTTCCTCTTTATTTCTGAAAGTGTCAATACATTTAGGGCCATTCAGATCTGGGGGCTGTTGTTTCATTGTTGGAATTTTGACACAAATTTTAGAATCCGGTGCCCATCATGCAATACGCCTGTACTGTACTGGTGGGCATTAAGGGACAATCAAAGGAAATGATTTAAGACAAGTAACCTGATCCTATGGCTTTAGAAGTAATAATTGGCACTTTGAAGTATTTTGGTGTAACAACTACAGTAGTATTCAGTTAGTAGACGGCAGTGTTTTCAAGTTTGGATCTATGGTATATACTCTATGTTCTTTTGTTCTAAGTTACAGTTAAAGCAGTTAAGCAGTAAAGCACATGGTAACTGTGCATTTTGTTTGATCTGTGATACTATAAACAGAATTTATAACAGAAGCTAGTGAAATTAACACATTAGATGTTTTATCATGGCCAATTGCATATCCCTCTAAATTCTCAAACAATTCTAATTAGAAATCACCTTCAAGAGTAGTCCCTGTGATGACCCGCTACCACAACATCATTCAGAAGAATCTGAGTCTAGAGGAGAACAGTCACATGATAAAACCTCTTACAAGAATCTTCCTCTTCTCAAAATAGAACTTTATTTGGGGAAAATAGCAGGAGAGGAGATTCCATCCAATTCAAAATTTATAATGAAGAATACAGCTTCTCGTGGAAGAAATCCCAGGAATCGTTCTGAAATGAATCCTTGAAGAGGGAAAGTTGCATGTTTTGAGATGTCATTTGGTCCTGGAAAAAGAACCTGCAGGAAACCACAGCAAAATAGTTAGAAACCAATGAGTGAAAGATGGTCAACCACACTAAGTGTGGAGTAATAATATCTTTCATGGTATGTTTGTTTTGCTTTTTCATTTACGCCTCTTCTCTGCCTCAGTGATTCTGTTCCAGATGATTGCACAACTCATTTTGTAATTTTCTGCTGTCCCCTACAGAGACATTTCAGTCTTGAAAGGAAAGGTTTATTCATGTGATACCTTAAGATCTATTTCACTATGTATCTTCCACAGTAATAGACAGCTGTGTCCTCAGTTTTTAGGTTGTTCATTTGTAGATAGAAGTTGGAACTGTCCTTGGAGGCAGTGAAACGCCCTTGGATTATTGGAGAATAATAGTTGCTACTAGATGTGTGTTAGAGAACAAGCCATTCCAGTCCTTGGCCAGGTTTCTGTCTGATCCAACCCATCCAGGTGGCTGTTAACATTGAATCAAGAGACAGCACAAGTCAGTTTATGGGATTCTCCTGGTTTCCTCAGTGCTGCATCTGACTGGGTCAAGACAACCTGGGAGAGGCCACCTAATGAGAAAAGACTAAGCACAATTGGATGATGGTTAGAAGGTAAGAGCCATAGTAAAGATGTAAAATTTCCTTCAGTCCTAGAAAAAAAAACTTAATATGGTCCAAATAACAAACCTCTAGAGAAGGAGGCCACTATGATGAGAATTAACAAGTGGGGCGTCATTGTGTAAAAGGAATGAGATTTACACCTTGAGTTGAACCTGAAGAAGGAGAAGGAGAGTTTAAATAGGAAGTGAAAGTCTGGTTGGCTTTGCATAAAACCTGCGGGGAGCTGTATAAATATGAGATGAAGTCCAGAAGTGTACTGAAATTTACTTGAGAATAGATGATGATATAGAGTGTCTGGATGCAAGCAGTCCTCAACTTATGCTCTGGAATTTTGGTTGTTAGATAGTGCTGCCATAAGTAGAGGCAACCACATGACTGGACAGAAATTTTCAACCATTCTTTTCAGTTATCGGTAAGACAATCCTAGGATTGTTAAACAAATCCATTGCTCCAAATAGGGTCATTTTTTCTCACAGATACTATGCTGTGTCTAGCAGGTCTCCTCCAAACAGAACTTAACTTGGGAATATAGCAGGAGAGCAAATTCCATACAATTCAAAACATTTAATGAAAAATATGATTTCTCATGGAAACAATCCCAGGAATCTTCCTAAAAGGAATCCCTGAAGAGTAAAGGGAATACATTTTGAGATGTCCTCTGGTCCTGGAAAACAATGAACCTGCAGGAAACCACAGCAAACTATTTAGAAACCAATAAGTGAAGGATGTTGAAACCAAGATAATATGGAATAAGAACAGGATCAATTGGTTTGGCATATTCATTTCATCCCTACTCTACCCCAGTGATTTTTATTCCAGAATAAAGAGAACTCTCATTTTGTGATTCTCTGGAGACATTTCAGTGGCAAAAGGAAAGTTTTTTGCATGGGATCCCTGCACCATTTCAAACCAATGGCTTTGCAATCTCTTCTTAAAAAATTCCAGTGTTGGAGCATTCACAATCAGACCTGCAAGATTCTGGTATATTCGCTGATTTTTTTGGGGGGGTATATGTAGATTTCAAAAATAGAAGGACACAGTGGTGGAGTGGCTAAGATGCTGAGCTTGTCAATCAGAGAGGTTGGCAGCTCGGCTGTTCGAATCCCTAGTGCCACATAATACAGTGAGCTCCCATTACCTCTCCCAGCTTCTGCCAAGCTAGCAGTTTGAAAGCATATAAAAATGCAAGTAGAAAAATAGGGACCACATTTGGTGGGAAGGTAACAGCATTCCATGTTCCCTTATTGTTTAGTCATGCCAGCCACATGACCACAGAAACATCTTCGGACTGTTTTGGCTCTTTGGATTTGAAATGGGGGTGAGCACCGCCCCCTAGAGTCAGGAACAACTAGCACATATGTGCGAGGGGAATCTTTACCTTTACTTCAGATTTCTAAAAGAGAGCTAGAATTCACAGTGCATGGCTAAAGGTGATTACTTTATTGTAATTAGCAGAGCTTTCTAAAAATTAAAATATATATATATTTGGGAAAAGGAGCATGATAAGAAATTCCATTTCATGAAACATTTAACAAAACAATTAATGAAAAATATGTGGGAATTGAGGTTCACACAGAACTCTGGAAGATTGCAGAAAAAGGACTGGAATGGGAAATGCAAAACTGGGGGCACAATCTTTCTGGAAAGTGTGGGAATGTCTTGCTCATTTTCCATTCCTCTTTAATTTCCCTGCCACTATGGTTGCTTTGTTGTTTTGTGTGGGTGAGTAGTTGTCTTTTCTGGCAGATGCCCTCCAGGGACAGAGGCTGAATGGTTCTGCTTTCTGCACTTGGCTTCTCCTCCCAAGGGACCCCTGGAGTAATTGTACAA